AGTGCAAGTGAACTATTTTGTAGGGTAGGAGTCAACACATTCCATGCACTGTTGAGAAACCTAATGCACAAATTTATTTGCAGATTGAATGGTTCATGTAACCTCATCATTATGCTGCTGTCAAACCCAACAGCAGATGCACATTAATCTAAAAACTGACTTTAGTTTTCTGCCTTCTAAAGAAACTTTAATCATTTAGGAAGCAAAATGTGAGCAGTCTTCCTCTTCTGCCTCTATGGATCCCATTTTCTGCCGTTACGGTGGCAGAGGAATTCTTATACTTCACCCTGAAACTCATGACTGGTGAGTCAAAGTTCTGTATATTTTAACTTTTATAGAGCTGTTAATGATTAATGTTATTATCTAATTGCAGATGACTGGCAATATGAGAGGCCAAGCTACCAGTACTTACTGGGAGACATCATTAATTTTGAGGCTACTGTCATGCAGTACTTTCACGTGCCCCTCCGTGTTTATGTGAACAGCTGTGTAGCTACTCTTTCACCGAACGTGTCCTCCAACCCCAGATATGCCTTCATTGAGAACAATGGGTGAGTTAGTTTAATGAGTCGATTGAAGTTGTTCTGTACAGTGAGAATAGTTTATCACAAATACAAAAACATTTTTGTCCATATCCAATGTTATTTTGTATGTTTTTTTGCATACAGGTGTTTAGTTGATGCTATAATCACAGGCTCTGACTCTAAGTTCATGCCTCGCACTGCAGAGAACAAGCTTCAGTTCCAGTTGGAGGCCTTCAGGTTCAAGGGTGCTGACAGTGGATTGGTGAGCGCCTGCTTATATTTTCTACTATACCTCAAATGCAGCAAAATTACATCTAATAATAACCCAAACCCTCTATTATTCCAACAGCTCTACATTACCTGCCACTTAACAGCAACATCGACTGCCTTTGCCATCGATAGTGAACATAAAGCTTGTTCCTACATCACTGGGTGAGTCTGTGTGTGTGCCTATGCGTTGAATGAAAAAGTGTGATTGGGGATATGCCTACTGTATTTTACTGCTTTCATCTTCCTTTCTTCCTAGGTGGAAGGAGGCCAGTGGAGCTGACGCAGTTTGTGGCTCCTGTGGATCTGGAACTGGAATTGGGTCTGGCGCCTCAACCGATCTGTCTACTCCTGGAAGAAAGATCCGTGATTTGTCCCAGACTGAAGGTATGTTGATGAAAATGAACTGTCTAAAGTATTTGATATTATATAACGAAAACTGGACAGTCAACATACAACAGAGTTGTTAATATGTTACCACTATTGTGATGAGTTAACATCTTACCTTATGCTTGCCTGTGTCTAAAGATGCTTACCGTAACACCTCTTCTGTCTGTTTCTTCCTTAGTTTTCGAATGGGAAGGTGATGTCACTCTGGGTCCCATCCCCATTGGAGAGAGGGTGGCCACTTAAATCAATTTCCAGCCATTACTATGACCATCAAAATAAATACTGTCATTGGTTCATAACTCTCTGTATGTTATTCACTTGCTTCTTGTTAATAGCTCAGTTTAAACAAGGAAAGAAAAGCTCCAGTAAAAAAACTTAAAAGTGGCCATAAAATGAAAGTGTAACTCGTTTTACATTGCCCCTCTGTGTAATGATAAATGTTACCAATGGACCACATCTGCTCACTTCATAGACTAGTCATTCCATTTGATGGGAATAAAAATGCAATTGTGTGGAAGGCTTTTGTCATTCACTGGACTAGACCATCACAGAAAACTAACTCATTATTAATAATAATTTTCTTAAGCTGTACACTGAACATACAGTAAATAAAATTACTGTGATTTCCTATTAGTAAACATAAAGTCAACAACCAAATAAATAAGTAATAATAATAAAAAAAATTTAATGTAATGTTGAAAGGGACTTTACCGTCCATCATCGTCACTGTTTGTTTTTTAGATATCTTAGTGAATCATGTTATTTAGTGAATTAATTAAGGCCTAACGTTTTAGCCCAATACAAACGCACTAGTTCTGTAAAGGGCTAATCAGGTTTTCACCCAGAGAGTAAACATTTGCCGCCTTCGTGTGGCACAGAAGGTGAACTGCAGCTCAGCAGCACCACAGGCAGTGAACAGCTCCGTACTGCGCATGCTCAGTGCAGCCTCCTTAAGTCTGAGGTGATCCAGGGGTAAATAGAAAGGAAGGAAAACTGCAACCTTCAGCCTCTGATTATCTTAAAGCTATGCCAATCTCAATACAAGATATTCGTATGAATTTCTTTCTGAAAGACAGTGTTTGCTTTCTGGAGATAAAAGGTATAAAGTATGTTTTCTAAGGCGTATTATGGCGATTCTACTTACACTTGCCTTTGACATACATGTCAGTTTAAATAGGCTGTTAAATTGTATGCCCAAAATGAAAATATGGATAACCAGATTTTATGTGCTTTTCCACCTTCCATCATATCCTATACACCCCAGTTAGAAACTGATTAGACTACATCTATTATTATTTCCATGATAAGTTGCAGTATATACACTGTACACTAGCCTATATCGTTTTATAGCGTATGTGCACAGTGGAACTAAAACTCTCTATATGTAACATCCAATTCGTTTTGCATCTTACCCTGTAGATTTTCTTACTGCACTTATTTCACCAGTTCTTCGTTTAAATATTTGCTACTGTTGCCATTCTGCCTGCCTTTGCGCTTTGATATTGATCTGTGTTCTGGATCGTTTCCTGATCTATCGTTTTCCTTTCGGTGCCTGCTCTGATATCTTTTTGTTTATGGACATCGGGAGATGACACAAGAAGCGGAATATGGGGTCAAAATAAACACAAGCCAAACAATAAACAAGAGTCTGATCTGACCCATACTTAAAATCTTGTAAAACAGGGACTTTTCCGGGGAACCCCTGGGTCACCCCCCCACCCCGCAAGGACCTCCGGTGGTCCCTGCACCTAACTTTGGAGATCACATTTGCCCTGGCTGCAAATTTCCCTTAATGTCATTAAACACTTGACGGAAATCGTCAGTGTTTTTGCTGTGTTGCTGTTTGTCGAGGCTGCAGGCTCTGAGCTCTGCCTGCATCCGCTCAGGGCAGCCTGCTCGTACGGTAACTGCACTGACGTTATATCGTCTCTCCTCCACACCCCCTCCTCCTCCTCTGTCTCTGCCTGTCTCCGCACTGCTGGCCTGTATCCGCTGTGTGACACAGGCAGCATCGCGGCAGCAGACATTTGGCGAGGACAAACAGGGACTGCGGTCGTGTACTGCGCGCTTATGCTTCGCGCGGACGCATCGGGGGGACAACAGGATTGAATTGGAAATCTTCGCTGTGTTGTGCACTGTCTCCGACGAGAATTTCGTGCCTTGACAACTCCCCTCCGTACTCCGCTTGTGTGGATGCTTGACTGCAGATTTGATGGTGCTGAGCAGGCTCGTCTGATTGAAGGCTTGCGGCCAGGGGGCATCTGTGGGGCCGCAGAGAGAGAAACCTCCGTCCACCGGTGCGACTGTCCTCTGCCCTGTGACTGTGAATGGACTGCGCTCCATCCGTGATTTTCTGCAGTCGCTCTGAGTCATTTGTGGAAGAAGATGGCGGACAGGGCTGAGATGTTTTCCCTATCCACTTTCCATTCCCTCTCTCCCCCCGGCTGCAGGTAAGAGCTTACATGTAGAGCGACAGTGGAGGGATGGTGAGGGACGATGCGCACGGTTGATGAGTGGACAGGACGCCAAAGATGATAAACATGTGTATCAGTTTGGTTTTCATGACTGCAATAAAACGCACATTCCCTACCATGGGTAGCAATAGATACTTTGATTAACCTGACAGGCCTGCAACTGCCTCCCTGCGCGCCAATAGGTGCTGCAGCTGAACAGCCAGTTGTTTGTGTTTTGGAGCTGATACGTTCCTTAAAGACAGCTATTTTATTAAGGCAACTCATTTTATTCTTAGACATGTGTGAAGAAGGGTAGATGGCAAAATAGATGGCAGATGATTGATCTGTAGCTGTGGCGACAAGCACCCGCCTTGCGCATTCTCTGTGTGAGGCCCACGCCCTGTTGAGTCGTCCAGCCCAGGCAAGGGCATGATGCTGAACAATGATTTACGGAAGTCCCACTGATATTAATGTTGGTTCAAACGCCTCTAATGTGACCTCTGCGACAAATCTGCTTGCAAAACCTAAATGCTATTGTGAGTGGCGGAAATCAATTACTCGTGCGGAATTTTTGACACAGCTACAGTATTTCTCTTGAAAGTTGTCCATGTTAGGTCATAAGGCACGACATGGGTTTCTTTAGTGGAATTATTATTATTATTATTATTTTGGATTTAGGCCTGGTAAAATATTGCAACACTTTGGTGCAATTTGGATGAAATAGTGTGGATGCTGCTGCAATATTTAGATTTGCTTTTGCCTGGAGGTTTATAGGAACATGGTGTAGAAATGTGATCGATGTAATTGTATTTCTAATTTTATTATGATTTCCATGTATAATAAGCTCATGCCTACTGCTGCTGCTGCCAGGCCTTCCTCTCTGTCACTGAATACAGACCAAATCAATCCTATAAACAAAAAAAACAAAACAGTTATTTGTAACTCTCTTGCCATACCCCAATAGAAAAAAAGTAAAAGAAAATGGGAAAATAATAGTAAAAGTATGTGTTTGATGTTGCTCTGAGCAGCATAAAGCTCACAGGATAGTGGAGATTTTATATGTATAATGCCAACATTTCCTTGTCCCTGCCTCCACACGTCCCATCCTTACAGAATGCAATTACATTAGCAAGCCAGGTCCCAGTGGATTTTATATCCACAACATGCACTCATGTGGGATTTAGTTGCATACTGTAGCTTCATATCATGGAGGGATCATATCAGATCAATTGACCTGATTTATTGCATGACTACCGATGACCTCAGTCCACAGCACAGAGCCAATGATTTGGCCATTACATCAATATTTAAAATTTACAGCACTGGCAAACAGTTTGAGCATGATCATCTTTTCTTTATGCAGTCTTTTGACCTGCTTTTAATACATTGTGTCGCGACTCCAAATCTACTTTAAGTCTTTTCAGACTCTTAGAAAATAAAGCCAGTGTTAAAAGAAAAAGGAAGATGTGGAGAGCAGCTGCTTGCATCACTCTATTAATTGATTGGGGTGGAGACTGATCAGTTCCACTCTACTGTTTTCAATTTTGTGTGCATTCAAGAGTACACAAATTGTGTTTATTTTGGGTCTGCTATGGATCATAGATTTCAGACTGTGAAGAACCAATAAATCACTGCAATGAAAAGTATTTGGAGCATATGCCTATGAGATGGCTGTATTTGTAGATGTGTTGTCTATAAAAGTGCATACATTTGTGTTGTGTCTCTTTCTCTGTGTTTTTGTGTCTGACTGATGGTTGAAACCACTGCTGGTGTGATGGTGTGGTATACAGTAATCTGCCTTACATAACCCTAACACTGTTTAATCCGTGAGAGAGCCTGTCTTTCTCTCCTGAGCAACAGAAATTTATGACTATAATTTCTCCTGTACTGAGGGAGCACTCTCCTCACCTTAAAATATGCACATTAATCTGTGGAGATAAAATATGGTGCACTTTTCATTTTATTTAGCATTTTATTTCTATTGCTAAGATAATATGCGAGTATATTTCAAAACTAAGAGAAATGGTTCCATAAAAAGATGGTGAAATAAATCAACGCGAATATAAGTTTATGGTATTCTATTTTACTTTGCACCAAGGCTTCTTCTTACAGAAATAATAGAAATGAACTCCATCCATGTATGCCATGGTTTTCACAATAAATAACCTGCTGTGTTTTTTCTGGACCCTAAAACAAAAATGCTGACATATTAAAATGTGGGCCTCATAGTGAACCAACCATCCATACCTTAGAATTCATTGATTACATTTTGTGAAAGGATTGTTTGTATTGTATTGATGCCTGGTAGGAGGTTGTCCGGCTGTGAGTAGGGAGCGTTGGGTTCTGATAAATGGTAAAATGTGTTTAACCCAGAGTTCAACAAACCGCGACTATTCATCTCTTTTACTTTAAATGTACAAAACATACATCTAGTGATTTAGCCAAATTACATATAGGCTACAATATGTCACCTATGTGGCAAAATTGGTGCTTTGGTTCTTTGAAGATTTATTCTTTTAAATATATCTCAATGCTTAAAATGGATGAAACCTAAATGGATTCAAAGCTGAGCTGAATATTGAATTAATCGATTAGCTGATCAACACAAAATAAATCAGCAGTTATTTATATAATGTTAAGATAAAATATTAAATAATTAATCTTTATTATCATGCCATTTTTTAAGCATTGATGGCAAAAATAATAACTGTTTCCAGCTTCTCAAATGTGACTTCTCTGGTTTTCAACTTCTATGTAAATAAACTGGATGTATTTCGATCTCGCCTTAGGCTCTGGGAAACTGTGATTGACATGTTTTTTTTTTTTATGAACAACTAATGAATCAAGAAAAGAGTCAATTAATAAATAATGAAAATAATCTCTAGTTTCAGCTCTAGACTCAACCGTGGATCTGATAACAGATTCAGACTTGATATAATTCTGTCAAACCCCAGCTGTATTACATCCATATTTTACTACTACTACAAATATCCAGTAAGCATCACCCCCATCCCTGTCCCTGTGAATTTCATATGTTTAGCAGTCGATGTTCCACTTTTGCCTTCCAACTCTTTGAAGGTTAAAAGGCAAAGGGAGGGAAGTGAGTGGTGGTGGGTATGGTTACCATGGGGTAAGAGGCTTAAATCAAATACAGATTCATTTTAGCTTAAGTATGTCCATCTCTGCCTCCCCCCTGCTGTCTTTCTGTCTCTCTCTTTGTATTTTTGTATTTCATCTATCTCTCCCTCTCTCTCTCACACTGTGTACAATCAACACTTGCCATGTTTTTGCATGTCAGTCTTAGCAGCAGCTGTCGCTATAGCTTTGTTTTTCCATTTAACAATAATTAAACGAATCATATTTACACGGTACGTCAGATTTTTCTTTCGCTAAATATGATGCCAGTGAATATTTCCCATCAGCATTCACTTTACATCTGATGACTCCATTAATCCAAATCCAGCCAAATCAACATGAAATCATCTGCTCTGAGCGAACCGATGCATCATCTCTGCCTCTGGTTCAAAAATGGCGTGATCTTCAGGTTTGGATCTGACACAGACAAAAGAGGGTGCTTCATTAGGATAAATGTATGACTCATATGTGTGCCTGAGTGTGTTTGCGTGTGGGTGTGTGTATGTGTGTGTCTCTACATTACTGAAGAGTGACGGTGGGTGATAAGCCTGGGAAATTGATCTTGTTAATGAGTCAGTAGCAACCACATCAAATGTCCTTGGCTTTTAAAGATGATGATGTCACTGTGAAGCAGGTGCTCCTGGTTAAAAGGCAGCAGAGACCCAACTGCCCATCCCCCCCTGTATTTGTATCTATTTTAATATTGTTATTAGAGTCCTTTTCAAGTCTTCTCAGGTCCTTATTTTTTATTTTTCATTTCCTTTTTTGACTTTACTTAATATGACTTTGTTGTGCGGTCTAAAATGTGAGTTTGAGTTCATGGCAGCTTTTCTGAAAAATTGCAATCCATGTTGCCATGTTTTTATGCATTTGGGAGAAAGTGAAAAATGCATAGTTGCAATTACTTATTTCTTTGTGTAATTCATTAAATATCAAAGGCAACTTGTTCCAGTGAGAATAAAAAATCTCTGTACAGGGTAAATGTGAGATTTTTGCTTTGCACAAGTCTGTGTGGTCTGCAACTTCACATCTGGAAAGTAAATTTTGTGACGCATGCCTCAGTGTTTTGTGCAGTAAGCTACGATTGGTCAAATCTTTTGAGAAGTTGCAGTGATTGGACAAAATTGCTCAGAGTTGACAGGGATTGGTTAAATTTGCATTGATTGTCGTGATCGTAACATTGCAGCTTCCTGGAGGATTAGGGGTTGAAAGAATTAATATTTTTTTATTACGGATTAATCTAATAATTATTTTCTTGAATGCTCCATAAAACATGAGAAAACAAAAAAAACTATAATAAATAAATACAATTACTATAATGTATGACGGACAGTTGTATAAATATGTCTTAGTATTAGACAAGCAAAAATGACAATGTGCTGATTTGACAATTTCTGTGTGTGGATATGACAGTATGAGAGATGACAGAGATTAACTGTTAGGACAAATGTGGGCTGGAGAGATTGTTCCTTTTCAGACTTGAAGAAGGAGCAAGACCTGAATAGACACAGAGATGGTAGCAAAACCTTAGCAGTGGCAGTAAATCTGGGTGTGCCATTGCAGTAACATGACCGCCATCAGTGAATGGTAATTTTGTGCTGACTTGTTTGCTTGTGGTAGGATTCTCATTTTGTTCAGTATGTCACAATTCAGAATAGGTAGAGACTGACATGATGCAGGACCTTTGTGATTATGGAGAGTGGTATAGATTCCTCACCTTCAAATCCTAATTATCAAGAATCATCACAAGCAGAAGTAGACTGAATGCAGGGGCCATCACAATGCGGTGTCAGATAAGCAGCGAGTGGTACACAACATGGTGTGACAGGGACTGCACGCTCACTTGGATGCTGTCTAAACACAGAGCAGGAACATGGACATGCAATGTCACACTGCAGTGGTGGCTGCATCTCGTTATGTGATATAGATTCTAAAATCAGAATGATACCTCATTTCAGAAAGGGATATAGAACATAGAAGAGAAAAGAGGAAAGGAGAAGAATAGGGAACTGATGTTGATCTTAATTACAAGATGAAGAAATGTATGCGCATGTATAGGAGGTGTTTCTTTATGTTAGTATAACAGCGTGTGGCTGGAGTCAGTCGGTGTTTTCCCTCTTCAAGGAGAAGACAGAGGCCTTTGGACTGGGCATATTTCTGTGTCTGCAGATTTTCAATGACACACATTTCTTAGGTTTTGCAGTTTAGGGGAAATGGGGCCACACTGTGTTGTGACGCGCATTGCAGAGCTACAAGAAAACTCCAACACTAAGCAGATGAGGACACAAACAAAATGGAGTCTGGAAATACAGCAGAATAAGGAGCAATG